TTTTCGCCTGAAAGCGAAAAGCCCTAATAACTAGACCTTTTTTTGTCGTTCAACAAAAACGGAGGGCTTTTCGACTCTTTAAATCTCGAGGACCATAAAGAGCTATAAATCTAACAAAATGAAAAACATAAAAAAAATAATCAAACCGGATCAAGTTTTCAGGAGCTTATAAAAATGGAAACCTAAAGAGTATGTAATTCTCACTAGAGCTCTGCAAAGGGGGATAACTCTTACATTGTTATTTCTGAAATTACTAAAAGTTACAATATTTCAGGTCTCTAAAACATCTATAAGGGGTCAAAAAGTAACCCACGGACCATAATTTTTAAATTGTACCCCTTATGCTGAACTCAGAATCGAAAACTGTTCAGAAATTCATTTAGAAATGAAAAAGTAACATGGGAAAAACTGTTTTCAATGTTAGCCCCTTGAAATCCCTTATTTTTCAGAATTTCATTTTCAGACCCTTATTGGGTTGAAACTTTGTCAAAGTAATTATATCACTCAATTTTCACAAGAATATCTTATTTAGTTTAGGAGATATTGTGATATGTGCATTTTTCCATTTAACATGGGAACTCCTATAGAAAAATTCAGAGATTCATAAAACCGGAAGTACTTGTCATATCCATACCAAACTTGAAACCTAAAGAGTATGTGAGCCCGTCAACAGATGTGCAAAGGGAACTAAATCTTATTTCATCATATTTGAAATAAGTAAAAATTTCTTTATTTCAGTCCTCTGTAACTCCTATAAGGGGTCAAAAAGTGACCCCACGGATCATAATTTTTAGATTGTACTTTTTAAGCTAAATCCAGAATAGAAAACTGTTCAAAAATTCATTCAGATTTAAAAAAGTTATGGGCAAAGGTCAGTTTTCAACTTTGGCCCCTAGAAATCCCTTACTTTCTAGAAATTCATTTTCAAACCTAAATGGGGTTGAAAGAATATTACAATCATTACATCACTCAATTCTCACTTGAATATCTTGATTACTTTAAGAGATATCGTGACATGAGCATTTTTCCAATTAACATGGGAACTCTCATAGACAAATTCAGAGATTCATAGAACCGGAAGTACTTGTCATATGCATACCAAACTTGAAACCTAAAGAGTATGTAAGCCCGCAAACAGATGTGGAAAGGGAGATAACTCTTACTCCATCATATTTGAAATAAATAAAAATTACATCATTTCACTCCTCTGTAACTCCTATAAGGGGTCAAAAAGTGACCCCACGGACCATAATTTTTAGATTGTACTCTTTATGTTAAACCCAGAAAAGAAAACTGTTCAAAAATTCATTAAGAATTAAAAAAGTTATGGGCAAAGGTCAGTTTTCAACTTTGGCCCCTAGAATTCCCTTATTTTCCAGAAATTCATTTTCAAGCTCTAAAGGGTTTGACACAATATCACAGTCATTATATCACTAAATTTTCACAAGAATATCTTGCTTACTTTAAGAGTTATAGTGAAATGTGCAACTGTTCAAAAATTCATTTAGAAATAAAAAAGTTACATGGGAAAATCAGTTTTCAATATTAGCCCCTTGAAATCCCTTATTTTTCAGAATTTCATTTTCACACCCTTATTGGGTTGAAACATTATCAAAGTCATTATATCACTAAATTTTCACAAGAATATCTTATTTAGTCTAGGAGATATCGTGACATGTGCATTTTTCCATTTAACATGGGAACTCCCATAGACAAATTTAGAGATTCATAAAACCGGAAGTACTTGTCATATGCATACCAAACTTGAAACCTAAAGAGTATGTAAGCCTGTTAACTGATGTTCAAAGGGAGATAACTCTTACTCCATTATTTTTGAAATAAATAAAAATTACATTATTTCAGTCTTCTGTAACTCCTATAAGGGGTCAAAAAGTGACCCCACGGACCATAATTTTTAGATTGTTCTCTTTGATTTGAACCCAGAATAGAAAACAGCCATGTGGTTTTCCTAGTTTCAAAATAGAAAGCCGTGTGGTGCTAAGAAATGTATTCTTTGCAAATATATTATTAAAACAAGCCAGTTTGAGGACAATAAGGGAAATATTTATCATATCAAAAATTATATTAATTGTAAATCTTGGAATGTTGTATATGGAGTTTTTTGTAAAAAGTGTAATAAGATTGTGTATGTGGGAGAAACTGGTGGGACTTTATACCAAAGACATGTCTTAAATCTCTCACTCATTAGAAGAGAAACCAATGACCCTGTTGCTGCACATTTTTACTCAGAATTTCACACATTAAAAGATTACAGTATTATAGGTATTGAAAAACTGTACAATAATGACATCTTTCGGAAATATAGAGAGAATCTATGGAAGAAAAAATTAAATACTTATATACCATTTGGTATGAATAAAAGGGAGCACTATTGCCCCTAAACCATTATATGAACAGTTTTGCGTGTGTACATTGTATATACGAATATGTTTATTTATATGGAATAATTTATTTTACATTATTTAGAGTCCAAATATACGTATCATTTGATTACTTTTGCAACTCTCGCAATCTTTTCAGATGTTTTTCGCGCAATTTTGATTCATGACGTTGTCTTTCTATTGTATGTACATTGTGACGTCATAATACGTTGTTCAACGTTAGTTGCTATGCATTTAAATAAACACGACTGATGAAGGCTGGTAACACGGTTGAAATATTTCAAAAAGTGTTTTAAAGTGTTTTTATTATATATATATATATATATATATATATATATATATATATATATATATATATATATATATATATATATATATATATATTTGTTTGTTTGTTTGTTTGTTTGTTTGTTTGTTTGTTTGTTTTTTTTTGCGGAATTCAATTTGTGGATTGCCAAAATTTCCACAAGATTTTTATAATTTTTGACATAGGATTGACAAATGTGCTTGTGATTTAGAGAGAAGAAAGAAGAAATAAAAAAAACAAATCAAAGAACAAAAAATCTGTTCCAAGGAATTAAAACATGTGTCGCCTGCTTTAAAACATCGTTAAAGATTGAAATAAATCTAAGAAAAGTCAGCTAGTTATGTGCTACTAGTTTTAAAGTTTATGCAAAGAAAAAAATCCACGGATAGAAAAACTTCGCTAGAATGGCAATAATTATCTAAAATGTGGCAATTAAATAAAAAAAAAAATGATACCAAACCTAGCTAAAAGCTAAAACTTATAATAAAATCAGTTTTTGTAATAATTATTAAACATCAATTCTCTAGATTCGTGATTAGAGAGAGATTTCAGTCTGTCTTCAGTCTACAACGTTATTTGAAGTGCAATCCATTTTGGTATACCGACCCCGATGTATTTTCATTGTATTCAAATTTTAGATTATGTGGTATCTGTATATTATATAGTTTCAAAGTACATTGTCATCAACTCATATTAACCGTTCAAAGTATTTTGAAAAGCAGGTCAAATGGTCAATGTCAAGTAGCTGTCACGCTGGTATATTTTCATTATGTCTTATGATAAACAATGTGCATGCAAACAACGAAGACCTACCTCTTAAATGTCAAAAATAAGCTGTATATCGGCTGTACGAACTATTTTAAAGGTTCAGGTACTATTTTAAAAGTAGGTCAGGAAGTGGTAACCATGGTATTTTAGAAAAGCCATAGTCCCAAGCTATTTATCTACAAAATATAAATCCATACATTTACTGTTCTCAACATATAAGGTGTGACAGACGGACAGACAGCTAAACCTACAGACGGACGGACAGAGAGACGCCAGGTAAACTGATCCCTAAGTGTCACTCTGCTCTGCAGGCGACACAGAAATAGTTGTGAATGACTTGCTTTTTAAATGGCTTTTGTTCATAAAAAATATGCACCTCATGTAGACAATAGACTACGGTTATCTGTAGTTCTGAGACATAGCACGCTGAAAGATCATGGTTCTTTTTCTTTAATATTTTTTATTTTATTTCACAATTCAAATGAATCTGCAATCATTTAGACAAAGTCTATATCACGTTCTATAATGCTAGATTGATAAAACGAAAAATGAGCTGTAATCGCCAATTTTTAATATCTGGCACATGATATACTAGGATAAAAAAAAAAATATTGAATTTTTATTCTTATTTTTAGCTGTTCATAAGGTTGCCGCGGTTTACAGAAAAACTCGACTATAGCGAAGTCTTGGAGACTTGTGAATATATTTTGTTGTATCCTTTGCCCCTTATATCCTTGTAACGAATTCTTTGGAATATTTGTAGACAATTCTACCGAATATGTTTAGGGGAATATTACATATAAAACCTACCTTGGGTTACTAATTTGTTTCTGATTAATAGCATTTCAATTATAAATACTTTCCAAAAATAATGTCAATTCAATATTTTCAATTTTGAAATCTTGAAAAAACAGTCATAAATGATGTTAATTTCCTTATCATTAACCCGTGTGTTACATGAAAATCAGCTAGATATATCCGAAAATTTATTTTATCTGAATGAATTACAATCTTTCAACTTTGCAAGGAATTGTTAAGACTTCATCATGGGATCTCAAGAAAGATCCGCTTTCTTAATAAACGAGTTTTACAGTAATTATTATTTTTGAATGCGCCGCAGGCTACCTTTTTTATTTAACTTGGAACATGGAATCAGTTTTCTTAAGAACTACTTACTTTTTTATGTATCATGTAGACAGCAGTGATGATGATGACGCTGATACCATAAGCATTGACAGTTCTGTAACACATTATATCAGTAAGTAATACCACATTATTTTAAACATTGTTTTTAAATTTTTGCCTACGAAACTTCATTTCTTTTGTGCTTGATATACATAAATTGCAAAAGAGAGTGAACATAAAATGGAGTATATTTGGAAAGTAAAACTTCTTATTTTAAATTGTTATTTCATACATTAGAAATATTCTCAGCTTATATACTTCATTCAGTATCACGATTTACTTCAGATATCCAACTGATACAGTACCTTCAGGAAATAAGAATGATCGTGGTTGGAAAAATGGGTGTAGGAAAAAGTGCATTTTGCAATACTTTGACTGGAGAAAAACTGTTTGATCCTGAAAGGGCTTTGCATTCTGTTACAAAAGCTGCTGATTTGAAAGTAACCGAACGGTTTGGGCGAGAAATTCTTCTGATCGACACCCCTGGTTTTGGAAATAAAGAACGGCACAAAGAAATAGTTGAGTTTATCGAAGGAGTTGGTGAATTATTCTTGCGATTTGCCCCAGGATTCCATTGCATTGCTTTCGTTTTAAGTTTTGAAGCTCGAATCACACGAGATGATATCGAGCTCTTGGAAGATGTCAAGCGGATCTTGGGAAAGGACGTTATGGGTCACATTATTTTAGTATTTACTAGATGTCCCAGTCAGAGTGCTTTAGAAGAAAAGCTTAAAACGGCATGTAGTCAGTTCAAAAATATTTTGAAAGAAGTAGAATACCGAGTTTATGGAGTAGAAAATGAAACTGGGGATTTGAACATGCTTGCGCAAAATTTCTTTAGAATGGTTGATGACCTATGCATCAACCAACGCAAAAAGATTTACACATCAGATATGCTTTTGAAAGCTTGGAAAATTGTAAAAGATGAAGTCCAAAGTACTTCTGATAGAATGAAGATAAGCAACGTGCAGGAAAAAGTGGAATTGCTCGGAATTTTTCAATTCTTTGTTTCCGCAATTTTAAGCCCTAGAAATGAATAAGAATTCGGTTTTCAAAAGAAAACAAACTCATGAAATTTGTAAACCTTCTTTGATATGTAATATATTCTTGTATAGATGAGTCACTTTTATATCAAAGTAAAGCGAGCTGCATATATTGTGTTGAAGATATTTCACTTGTAAATTGCTGTATATTTTATATGGGCGTTTTTTTTTTTTTTTTTTTTTTTTTTTAAAACATGACAGATCTATTGTAAATGTAAATGCTTCGCTTCATAAGAAGAACAAGAGGCCCATGGGCTACAACGCTCACCTGATTTACTTTGGCCATAATTGTTTTTCATCAGTGGACTCTTTTCCTTTATATTGCTATATTCCTATGCAAACTATTGCTCAATGAAATTTGCCCCCCCCCCCCAAAAAAAAAAAACACCCCCGGACTGGGGTTCAAGATTTGACAAACTTGAATCTACACTACGTCAGGATGCTTTCAGAAACGTATGGCTCTTCATGGGTTTCCTGCTTTTGAGAAGAGGGTTTTTTAAAGAATTTTACTATGTATTCTAATGTAAAACGTTGACTCCCAATATGTCCCCACTCTACCCATGGGTTCATTATTTAAACAAACTTGAATATACATACTTAGTAATGTTTCATTGCATATAACCTCATTGTACATTCAGATTCACACATACTAAATTTGATTGATGAAATTGTCATTTTTTACATATGTATTAATGATGACCGATATTTAAAAGATAAATCAGATAAAGGGAAGATCACTCTTACACAAAACGTCACTGAAACAGGTGTGTGTAATTTTGCAAAAAACATTAAATGATCCCCTTGTGTATAAACTATTATTTAGAATATAAATATAATAACCAAGCATTCAAAAAATAACAATGAGAAAGAAAGGTGGCAGACAAAAGCTGTCAAAGTAAATACGAGTAATTAGATTGTTGCACCAACTGCCACAGAAATTGAAGTTCTAGAAAGAGAACATGGTACATGTACCACTGGTTCCACATTATTATTACTAGTTATCATTTCTGATAACTTTTCTTTATGCAACTGAAATCAAGAACACTCAATGCATTATCTACCCAGTGTTCAACATGTTTGACTCAGTGGTAGGCACATTTCGAACATCATAAAGAACTATACAAATATTATATACTTTGATACTGAAACTGCAAATTAATTGAGCTAAAAACAAACAAATACAATCTTAATAAGAAGACAATCTTTGGTTCCGAAATACAATAAAATATTTACCAACATTCGAAACAAACTACATTGGGAACAGCACAATAGAAATCTTCAGCAGGGAATTTTTGACATGAAGATTGTGAGTTACATAATATACAGTTCAAGATAATCATATCAGAATATATCTAACTTTAAGACTAAATATAACATATATCACAATTAATGATGATGTTCGACAGATAATTTCAAACTTAAAGGCTTTTTTAGCATTTTAACTCATAATGTTCTTCAACAGACAATCTGGCCTGAAGGGTTAACCCATATGTACAGTTTAAACCCAACAACATCAGTTAGAGTTAGTTAAAAACTTAAGAGTCGAAAATCTTCTTACCTGAAATACATCTAATTACATCCGAATCCATTCTTCCCGAATTATGAATAGAGTTGTTGGAATAACTCAGTTTTGCATGTGTTGCTACACGAAACAAACGCAATGCCCTTTACAAAGGTTGGGATCCAGACCAATCAAAGACACTGCTTAGTTTAGATGAAATGATGAAATAATGAACTTGAATTGTGCACAATTTTTTGAGTGTTAAGGTGCAAAACCTGAAGTGGACTGTTGTTTAGATCCAGTGTAACCTAAAACAAATCAGGATAGTGATATTGCTTGTATTAGTCTTTTAGTGCTTTACGGTAATTCTTGAAGTAAAATTCCTTGTCTGAATCCAAAGGACGACAGACCTCTGAATTATCTTTCCTTTTGACTGCCTCTGCTGCTCACTTTCAACGATGTTGATTTCCTTGCATTTTCAACAAATTTGTCAGTAGCCTGCATTGTAACAGAAATTGTTCATACTAATTCATGATCTTGTGTATAGAATCAGCTGGGGAACCTTAACCTCATATGCAGGTCAAAATGATATCGTGCTATATAAATTAAGGAAGTCGACAAAAGGCATGATATATATCATAAAAAAAAATCCAGAGAAAGTGACTTCTTCCTTTTGTATAAAAAGTTTCATGAATTCATTTGAATTCTGCTCCTCTAAGAAATAAAAAGGGCCTATAATAGCGGAAAAAAATTAGAACCCATAAGTATTTTAGCAGGTTATCCAAAGACCCAGTATCCAAAGATTACAAAGATATATTTGATGAAAACTCAAGCATCTGTATGTTTTTTTTTAATAAAACAAGTTCTCAAATTCAATGAACGTTTTAATGGCCTTTTGTTTATGCGTGTTTTTTAGTTTCTGCATTTGTTTGTCCATTTGAGGATTTTTAACTCATATTCAAGCGCTACCATTTGCAGGTGGAGGGCCTAAGATTTAGACCTCTGCTCGGCACATCATTGAGAAGTGAGAGATTTTTTTCGTGCAAGCACCTATAGGGGCACGGGATTTCATTTTATAATTATCCGAAAGACCAGTCTCCACGTCCCGCAGTGGAATTTAAACACGCGACGTTCTGATCAATTTCTTATGCCACAACTCTAGAGCAAACGTTCTAACCAATGCCACCTCTCCCTCGGGAAACGCAATGGCTGAACACAACATACCGTTGGGTTGCATTTTGTCTTATGTGTCTCTAACCATTTGTAACGTCTTTGTCCTTGTTTTAGTAATGGAATTTACTACAGAGTACTCTGCTTAACCGATCAGCATATACTGCTCACGGCAGACATGTGCTAGGAACTTAATCCAAACTGGCATTGCCAGGGGTCCATATTTTGCCAAGTTCAGGCCCGGAGGTTATAAAACTTTTTGAGAACAAACTCTGTGCTCAAACTCATACTCCGTTCTCCAAACCATACTTGTACTCAAAATTTATAGACAAATAAGAGTGGAACTTTAAGTAGGAGTATGGTTTGGAGAACGGAGTATGAGTTTGAGCAGGAGTTCGTTCTCCAAGGCCAGGTTTCGTTTGATTTACCTGATTTATGGTTTTGATTACTGTTCGTGTTCTTTAGGGAAAGTAAGGATATGAACACACAGTTGGAATTCCTTTCAGATGATCCATATCTTTGTATTGCAATAAAAATGTTTAAAGCAACAGTCGATATATTTTTGTGGGATATAAAAGCTGTGAAATATGGGATATTACATGGCTAAACTTATTTTGAGATAAATTACGGAGTACGTCACTAATGTTTACGGTGTTAGTTCATTTGTTGGTAAAGTTAAGTTTAACATAGTAACAGACGAATTTCTTGATAACCATGTTCTTCTGTTAAATGTTTCAACATACATAATTCAGCCTCAAAGGAACTAAATGAAGTTTGGTTCGGATATGATGCAGAACAAGCTGTGAAGTAGATAGAAGAGAAGTAGAAGTGATTCAAAGGAATTATACTAACATCATGTATATCAGTTTATTGTAAACTTGCTTTTTAAAGAGTCAAAACTTTGAAACCCTATTTTTATCACCAAAAGTACTTTTTCGAAAAATCCTTGCTATGGAGGCAAACTCTGGTCAGAGTGCAAAGAACTTGGAATAACTAACAAAACAGCTACGGTAAGAAATGTACAGGGGCGCGGACTTTAGTTACTTTGCTGGAAATATTGGACATATTTCTTGGAAAACAATGTCACGTTTCTCAACAAATAATGGACTTATTAATAACTAATAATAAATAAGTAAAAGAAATCGCTATACGCTCATTTTCATTTCGTGCACCGTTGAGAGTGTCCTTGACATGGTTAAGACAGTCTACACAAGAAAAAAAAAAAAAAAAAAAAAAAACAAAAACAAAAAAAAAAAACATATTTGAGCACTTCCTTTCCGGGCAAACTCTGATCATCTAAAAAAAAAATAGTCATCTAATTGAATTTGAGAATAAAAGTTATGTAATAAAATTCTGTTTATTCAATTACTGAAGGAGTTAAGTTAAATGGAGTGGCTTAAAATTAACATAAACATTTACATATTCCAACAATGGTACACATGTTATTATTATTATTAGTTGAATTTCTTAGAGACACCATTTCATACCAGTGAACAACTTCAATAAACACGTATTCCTTATTTTGTTTTTACGCATATAATGTGTCAAAAACGTTTCCATGTACAATTTTTTTTTTCTTTAATATTTTCCTTATTTTCAAAACATTTTCGATGCAGAGTAGTGTTCGAAATCCTCTGAATCATGTAAAGCAATATTTTTCTGTGTGTGTGTTTTCTTTTTTAAATAGTTGGAATATGCGTATCAGGACTTCATCTAATACTGATGGTGCCTATAGACTCGAACTGAAGTGAACCACTCTTTGTGTCGCTTGCACAGCAAAGCGACACTAAGGGGTTATTGTACCCTGCACATGCCTGTCCGTCCACCAGTCCGTCTGTCCAACATCTGTCCGTCTTTCACAACCTATATTAGAGAACTGAAATAGATATGGATTTGATTTTTTGCAAATGAATTGCTAGGCACTTTGGATTTTGTAAAATAACACATTAATTAATCTCCTGAATTTTGAACTTGAGCTTTAACCTACTTACAGTGGCTGCAACGTTATTGTTAACAAACCAATCGTGTAGAATGGTTCGTGAAACATGCGTGATTGTTTGTGTAACGTAAAAGATCGTGCGTGTATCAGGCTCAATCGTTTGCGCTTTTAATCGTGCGTGATCGTGCAGTAAGAAACTTGCAAATTTCGTTTTGTAAGTTTTGATCGGAATGTAATTTGTTAAAGAAGCATTTTGCTTGTCTGTTTATTTATTTATTTTTAATTGAAATAAAATAAATGAAGCACGGTTTACACAATTGAACAAAACTAGTTATCGTTAGTAATAAGGCAATCTAGTAAGTCGTACAATTTTGTAATCTCTTAAAA